CTGGAATGGCCCCTTTTCGTCAGAGCTGTCCCCGAACCGGGCCGGTGATGGTGCCTCAAGGCCAAACGGGCCGGTTTTCAGCTCTGCGGCCTTGCCGGACGTTTCACGGCTTCCTGCGTGGGGGTTTCCTTGATCCATGCGGTGCCGTCTCGTTGGTAACCCCTCTGTTGGACAGAGCGGGCCTAGCTGAGGGTGGGAAGGGATAAAGAGGCCCTTTAAGATGTTAGACAAGAAGAAAGCTTTCAGCGTTTATATTGGGTGAAAAAAACTGAAAAGAATTGCAAATGACAGAGGATCTGTCCCGTTTACGTTTTTTTTTTAGTATAATACAGCGCAGGAAATTTCTGGTGTTTAAACCTGTTACTTTGTCACAGTCAGTAAAAGTTATATAAATATGAAAGGAAGAGCTCGGAGAACACGCCCTGTTGTGAGCTCCCATGTCTGTAAGCTGTTAAGAGTTCAGAAGGCAGCTACGATTAAACTGCTGCTGGTTCTGTGCAAACAGCTGTATTTACTCACATTGGCCAAGTTCCCATGAATCACTTTGTGGCTAGAGTCATTATGCTCCAACAAAGATTATATTTCCAGGCTAAGCTGGTGATGCTAGTTCCAAAGGTTGACAAATAGGCTTCTGTTTTGGCAGGTATTTCTGTGCCTGAAATGTGAAAAGGTCTCTGTGACATGATGAACGCACTGTGATTGGCTCCTTTTTTGTTTTGTGTGTTAAGAAGGATATCAGTGGCTTGAAGGACTTGTGATTTGTGCTCCCCTTCTTTGCAATTATAGACAGAAAATGCTGTCAATTTTCAGCATAAACAAATAAAGCGAACAGTGAAAGCAGGTGAACAGATAAGTCAGATCAACCAAGATTGGCAGCAAAGATTGAAAAGAAAATTGGAGGACAAAAGACATGAGACTTCAACAGTAATGGTAACAACGGGGAAAACTGCTGCACCTGTCTGAAGGGCTTCTATTTCCTGGTGTCTGGAAAGACCTCTGTTTGAGGTTTTATGCTTTGGCAGTACCTCCACAATTCTTCATGGTTCAGTTTATTTTTTCTAATCACATCCTGAAGACATTTCTAATATATTACTGGATTTTTTTTTTTTTTATAGCACTTCATGTCAAAGAGCTGTTTCTTTTTGTAATTGTGCTCAAGGTGTTCAGATAGTGGCCTCTTGCCTTGTAAATCAGTTTGTTGAACTGTTGGAAAAGCAAACAGACCGGATAGCACAATGTTACCAAAAGAGGAATGTAGCTCCAGAACATGTGCAATTGGTGAGAAAGGAAGGAAAAAGCTGCTTGCAGTCGGGAATCTGCAAGTTGGATTATTGGCCAGATGGATGTGTAGATGAAGTCATAATTATCAGAGATAACACAGTCAAGCTGTCTTATCTGTCAAAGAGAAACTCTAGAAAAGGGGCCTCTGACATGACTAGTGACTTAAATCCTGATCCGGCCAAAGCAAAAGGATTGTCATCGCTTCCCTTCCACTTTGATCTGTAACTGGATGCTTCTGTTTTGAGCCCCAGATGTTCCTGTACATGTGTAGGTCTGAAACGTCTGTGGGATGGGTCTTAAACTTACTCTAATCAGCTTCTTGGGAGCGTCCAGCCTACTGTGGTCATGGAGTAGGGTTGTTATACATCAGATTACAGTTTCCCACCAGCTGCTAGTAGATTAACTCTCAAGTCAAGCTGCTCTGTGAGGCAAAAGTTATTTTTGAGTGTGGCTTCATCATTTGAGTTGGATGAAGTAACAGACCATTACAGGGAAGGCCACATCCTTTGTATGTGATGTTAAGGACAAGAGCAGAGTGAGAAGAATAACATTTCAGTTTGCACTCTCAGAGATTTTGTTTTACTCCTCCGTTTGCTAAGGGTCACCTGGACTCACTGGACTGTTTTGATGTAGTGGTGTGACTTTACCCAGGAGTTTCAAAGAGGGATTTTGGTTGGTTATGTGCTCTCTTGGATGTCTTTCTGGTTTGAGTGCAGTATATCAAAATAATATTGTGCATTTTAAAAAAAAATACTCTGGTAAATTCTGACTTTGTGCTTCTACCTGGTTAATAAGGCAGTCTTCTTCCTATTCTTCCTCCTTCCCCTGAGAGATTATCGGCAAACAGATGTCCTGAAAGCTATGTCTTCTAAGATATGATCTGTAAACATCCTTACATTAAGTCTGATTTTTGGCTTACTTTGTTTATGCAGAGAACTATTTCTTTTTCTTGTGCCCCTTCAGGGAGGTGATTTTTCAAAGGAGGATATTGTTATACAGATCACTTTTGTAACATTTGTATCAAAGACTTTGTTTTGCATGGCAACCCTTTAGTACGTGATAGGAAATGACAGAAAGGATGCACTTGTTCAGCAGTAATTATTCCACATACTGTAAAGCAGTATGTAGAGTTCGAGAATGATTCTATGAAACTGCTTTTGCCTTGGATAGGTGTATTGTACGTAACATCTTTTTAAAGAGATGGAGGCAGAGAAGTATAACATTCTCAAGGATGAAACCTTTGATGATGATTTTTTGTGACACAATCTTTTTGGCAGTAGGCCGATGCACACGGAAACCTGAGTTCACTCAGGTGTTTTCAGTGTGCTTTTTGTTGCAGTTCAGTGCAGGAACATTGCCCCTTCAGGTGTTCAGCACTGCAGGTGTGTTGAGGGTGTAGCTCTCAATATGTGTACAGCATGAAATAAATCTATCAAAGGACATCAGTCACAGCAAACATTAATAAGCATTGCTTTTGTTTTACTTTTCAGTTACAAAGGTCCACTGTTAGAGGACGGAGCGCTGGCTCAGGCAGTCTGTCATGGAGCCAGTTCCCCTGAGTTCACCAAACTCTGTGCTTGGTTGGTATCTGAGTTACGGCTCTTCTGCAAACTTGAGGAAAATGTGCAGGCAACAAACAGTAAGTAGCACAAACATGCACTGAATGTGTGTTCTTGTGTGCTGTAAAGATTTGGGCTCACGGTATCTGTTGTACCAAGGAGTATTGTCTGCATGCTGCCAGATTTTTGGATATTTTTCACCTCAAACTTCCCTAATGAGCAGCCAGTAGATATTGAAATAACAGTGGGGATCAAACAGTCTTTCTTCTGAAATTAGCTTTTTCTTTTAATTGTTCGACCATAGAGTTTTTTTAAAGCTCTTAGATGTATTTAGGGAAACATTAATACTTGTAGATGTTTTATTAGATTATGAGAACACTTTTATTTCAATGCTTCTGTTCGTAATTTTTATGTAAGAAATACCTACTGTTCAAGGTTAACATTCTCATGACTACAGTAACCATATTTTCATTTTTGGTTACCTTAGTGCTGTGCATACTGTGATTTTTTCCCTCTTCATGAAAAACTCTGAGAAGGAACCTGAAAATGTTTGTTTATTGTTTTGGTGGAGGACGCAAACCTTAGTTTTCAAAAAAATGTTATTTTTGGTGAACTAGTCATGACATTCTATAGATTAAATTGTTAAATTCGTATGATAACGTGCATTTCTGAATATCTAATATATTAACTCGTAATGCCTTTATGAGCTTAACTTTCTGTTTATTCAGTGGCCAAAGGTTGCTGCCTTTCACCTCAACATCTGTTCTCTTCCTCTTTCTTTCTGTTTTTGACATGTTCGTCCTTTCTTCTTTGAATGTATTTCACTCCCTTTCCCTGTAACAATACAGCATCTCACCTATTCTAGTAGTATAGGATTTCTCCTGTATGTTTTGTGTAAAAATACAGTCCAGAAGTATTCTAATGCCTATTCCGAATTCTCTAAACACAGCGAGAGAAAAGTGTTGGCTGAGCACTATCAAGTCCTGCCTTCATTTTGTGTGCCTTGAGTTTGTAAATAACAGACATTTAGGGCTGAAGTCTCGTTTCAAAAGATAAAAAATGTTACCTCTCATTAATCACTATTTTTTTACTTAACAAATTCAAATTAGTTTCAGTAATTTTTGACAGAAATATCAGTCAAAGGTTTGATTTATGTGACTTAATTGTTTTTAAAGGTATTGGTATGAAATAAAAGATGTTGACAAACATGATCTTACAGGGAGAAGCAGTAAAAACTCATAAGGAGAACTTATAAACCATAGTTATTGTTTATGACTTTGTCAGAACTCTCTAATACATTTGTAGTGGGAAGAGTTAGTTGATATTTAAAGTATACCTGTAAGAT